CCCGGTCAGAGACGAACGCCTTAACCAGCGAGCTCTCGGCGTGACCTACCAACACGCCCAGTCTCGGCTGCGTCCAGACCTTCTATAGACTCTATTTTTTAAACTATTTTTTCGCCCCCCTGCTATGCCCCGACCATTTAGCCCCTATTACCACTTGCCCCATATTACAGATTGCTAGGCTGGTAAGGTTTCCTTGTGGGGTTTTCGAAAGGACCTTTTGTGTTAGAACCGCCTACTTACACATTTTGAGTAGGTAGAATTACCCACAATCTGCCACTTTTCTGAACGCCGGCCGTCGACCCAGTGGGGATTGGATGATGACATTGGACTATAGAAGGATCCTCCGAAAGCCACCGCATACAATAATTACTAAGTCAGCATATTAAGCAAAATAGTTTTCCAAATTATTTACGTGAATAAGTTCTTACTTGCAAATGTTAAGTAGAGTGAATTGCACAATCTTCAAAGCTCCTTCACACATTTGCCTTTATTCCAGTTAGAGTTAGCGGTACTACTAGAAAATGTACCTCAATGACCTAGCCTGAGTGTAGGGCACACTCTCCCGACATACACACGCTCGCCGTTGGTCCGGCGGGGGGTTAGCGATGATATTTAAGCTTAATACAGTGGCCTCGCCCGACGTTTGAGTACGCGCCCCGACTAACCCTCGTAACTTTTTCATTTTATAGGAGTATTATGAGTTTATTTGTTCCCTGACATGCCCCGCCCGTCCTCTCCCCTAAAACCAGGTACCCGCGAGATTGATAGGCGCGCTTAGCACGCTCCCCAGGCGGCCCCACGAGGCACTCCTATCGGTAGGCTTTTTGTTCGCTGCAGTGAACCCGAGACGAGACTGCTACCCAAAGCTGTAATTGGTTGAGGTTTATTCCGGCGTATCAGAGCTTCCTCGACTGGCCTGCTGGCTCGTCGAGTATTAAGCATCCTTGAGGAAGTCGCCGACACTTCCAGCGACACTCCGATCAACATTAACTTCCATGCCCTCGTCGTCTCCCTCCGTCTCCTCGTCATCTTTTGCCTTTCCTTCTCCAGCGAACTCCTCCAAGTGCCCGGTTGTTGGCACCTGCAGCATTATGGCGAGTATCATCATAACGAGAGCGAAGAAGAGGGCCAGCATAGTGGGAAACCAGGTCACTCCACACATCCAGCTATTGCTCATATTCTCAAAATCCTTCGACCAAATCTCTCTATGGGCTACAAAATCCTCCTTATTCTGTGACCAAGAAAATAGCAAGAGAACAAATACTGACACCAGCAGCTGGATAACAGTCATTGGCACTACCACAGTATCCTTGAGTATCTTCTGCATCAGACCCAGCACCAAAAACGTCCCCACCGTCACCGTGAGGATCGTGGGTAGCAGAGGTAAGTAGAAGAGGTTGCCGCGGAAGTTGGCACTGCCGATAGAGTGGACTGCTCTGGTGATCTGAAGGAAGACAAACGTAGACAGGAGCATTCGAATGCAAGAGTAGAGCATACGCAGTTCCTGATAACTGGTATAAAG